ATGGTTCATACGGAGAGAAAAATTTAAAAATTGCCCGAAAAAGTCTAAAAACAACACTTTTCTATATTCCCATAAAAGACATTCGTAATAATACTTAAAAGTCAATTTGAACTTTAATACCATACCATAAAGTTTAAGTGTTAGTGGAGTTCTGGCAAGGCAAAACAATTGAGTAACGTTAGTATCGCATAAATACTATATCGTATCGTATCGTATAAATATGTGTCAATATTTATACGATGGTAACATTACGGTACGAAGTTCGCCGGCTTTAGCTAGTATATTATAATTATTATATTTCCTACAAGCAAAAACACTATCCAAAACCTTTTTTATTTCAATTAATTTTTAAATGTAGTTCTTCTAGCAGCATATGTTAAGGCAAAAACCTCTCACAACCATGCAAACAAACACTTGAATTGTTGGATGATAGTATAAAATAGAATAGAACTAGTACAAAATAGAAGTTTGCCTGAAGTGAACACAGAAGAATTGTTCTCTTATGAATCCCGCGTTTGGTGTCAAAGGCATCTAAATAAAGGCATCTAAACACCACTAGACCGAAAATATATTTTTGCAGACATGCTTATTTTGGATAATGTTTCAAACCAAGGATCACTTGCCAGACGATCGTTCACTGCATTAAAGGCACATATAAAAATATGTAAGTACTTTTCTAATACTTGAAATATATTTTAAGTCTAGTTCGTTACAAGACAATATTGATCTCTAGGGCTATCTTTATAAATTTTTCACAAATTCGTTGTTGTTAATATTGAATTTCATTTCAAACGAAAGATAATTTTCTAAAAAAAAAAACTATTTTCTTAAATAATTTTTTTTTTATAGAAGAGGGGGCGAACGAGCATGCGGCTCACCTGATAGTAAGTAACTACCGCCGCCCATGAACAACCGCAACACCAGGGGAATTGCAGATGCGTTGCCGAGCTTTTAGAAAGGTGTAAGCTCTTTTCTTGAAGGTTCCTAAGTCGTATCGGTCCGGAAAATTCGCTGGTGGTAATTGATTCCACAAGGTAGTTGTGTGAGGGAGAAAACTTCTTCTAAATCGCACAGTGGTGGACCGCCAATCATCCAGATTGTATGGATGGTAACGCGAGTTTTGTCGCGATGTGCGATGGTGAAATTGAGCGCCTGGAATTAGTCCGAACAATTCCTCAGAGCACTCCCCGTGATAGATGCGATAAAATACGCAAAGAGATGCAACATCTCTACGCAGTGCCAGTGTATCGAGCCGATCAGAAAAAACTCGGTCGTCGACGATTCGAACCGCTTTGCGCTGGATGCGGTCAAGTGGAAGGAGCTGGCACTGGGGTGCCCCGGCCCAGAGATGAGAATAGTATTCCATGTGGGGCCGAACTTGCGCTTTGTAAAGTTACAAGCGATGTGCCGGCATGAAATACTGTCTTGCTCTGCTGAGCACGCCAAGCTTTTTAGAGGCCAATTTGGCCTTCCCTTTCAAGTGACCACGAAACTGCACACTATTTGATATGTCGACGCCAAGGATTCCGATACTAGCTGAGGCAGCAAGGGGAGTGCCTTTAAACTGAGGAGATACGACAAAGGGGTTCTTTTTAGCGGTAAACGCGCAAATTAGTGTCTTCTGGGGATTGAACTGGACTAGATTTAGTCGGCCCCAATCCGATACTTTGTTAAGCAAAGACTCGACTTCAGACACAAGTTTGTCTCGGTACTCAGCGACGTTTTCCCGAGAAGTATTGGCACGGCCGGTATATAAGGCATCACCAGTGCTGTCGTATGCATAGCAATGAATGCTACCAGTTAGCAACATATCATTGATATGCAGGAGAAACAGCGTTGGTGATAGCGCGCAGCCATATGGAACACCAGCGTTGATAGGCTTGAAATCAGAGCATGCACCGTCTACTACGACCTTGATGCTCCGATCAGCAAGGAAACTGGTAATCCATTTGCACAATTTCTCGGGAAGCCCATAGGAAGGAAGCTTCGAAAGAAGCGCTTTGTGCCAGACCCGATCGAAATCCTTCGCTATGTCCAAACTAACGGCCAATGCCTCCCCCTTGGACTCTACTGCCTCCGCCCATCTATGAGTCAGATAGACTAGAAGATCAGCAGCTGATCGACCTCGACGAAAACCGTACTGGCGGTCACTAATCAGCTGGTGATCCTCAAGGTACCTCATGAGCTGGCAGTTTATAATGGATTCAATTATTTTGGAGAAAAAGGAGGTGATGGCAATAGGCCTGTAGTTGGATGGGTCTAAGCGATCGCCTTTATTAGGGATCGGGTGGACCAAAGCTGTCTTCATGAATGCGGGACTACGCCTTGGGAGTAGGAGTACCGGAAAAGATGCGTTAGAACCAGTGCTAACTCCAGAACACACGTCCTCAGCACAATTGGGGGGAATTCGTCAGGCCCACTTGACTTGCTGACGTCCAGGGAGAAGAGTGGTTTGCGAACCGAGCGCTGTGTAAACCGCACATCCGGCATGGACCACTCACATCGCGGGATGGTCGGCGGTGTGTTCTCCCCGTCATCTAGAGTCGAGTTGGACGCAAAAAGAGAGCTCAACAGATCGGATTTCTCCTTTGCGGCATAGGCAAAGGAGAAAGCCGATGCCGTGAGTAGTCCTCTCTGTGCAGAAATGGAAGAGATGGCTGACAGAAGTTCCCTTGGCAAGCCTTGGCGAGAGACCAGAATGCACGGGTTCCCGAAGGAAGGCGAACTAGCTCCTCGCCAATTCTGCCGATGTGCTCAGACCTTGCCTTGGCAATGACGCTTTTGAAGGACCTGGAGGCGGAATTATACTTCTTTTTAAGTGCGCTGGTGTTTACATCCCGAGGCGTTGATGCGTCAGCCCAGGCCCGGTAGCACTCCTGCTTAAAGCGTGATGCTATTTTACAGGAGCGACCAAACCATGGCTGGGATCTGCCTCCGATGGGCACCACAGAGGATGGAATAAAAAGTTCCATACCCTGAAGTATCACATCAGCAACAGAATCGGCAACAACGCTGGGATCTTCCGGTGAGAAGCAAATACCCCCAAGGGTAGGATGCAAAAAAAGACCGCATCCCGTCCCAATCAGCTGACCTATAGTGCCAAACACGGCGGCAAGCTGCAGATCGCAACTGCGATTGGAGCGTGAGTGGCGCTGTACTCTGGATCAGACAATGGTCCAAAGAGCCCAGAGGGGCATCGACGGACACCGGATATCCGTCCGGATGAGAGGTCAACAGAAGTTCCAACAGGGAAGGTACATGGTCTTCCACATCTGGGATCCGCGTAGGCGAAGTAACCAGTTGTGTTAGACCATATGCCAAAGCAAAGTCATAGACAGATCTACTCGCATGATCGGTTAAACGAGAATTAACAGCGGTAGAGCCACGCGGCAGCTTTTGCTGTTGCACGAATGGGCCGGCTCGAACCGGGGTAGTACCACGACCTCACAGAAAACCAGCGTGAAGTAGAGGTTTACCTCTGCGTTTCGCTTAGTGAGTGCAGGTGGCCGGAGGCCCTTTTTACTGGAAATGAGGCATTCCATCTTAGTCCTCACGGGTGACAACGCATCTACATTTGATTTGAGTCGGTCTGTGTCAGCATTACCGCTATGGGACCTATAGAGGCACCCGTAGACGCGCGGATGGTCGTCGGTGTCTACGCGCAGCCATAGGATGGACAGGTCCGTACCTTCAAGACTGCCGAGGCGTCGAAAACAGATGTCCTCTCTGACGTATACGCAAACTCTAGCCCGGGGTACACCTCTGTGTATGTTCTGTGTGTTCCAATTTGTACCCCGGGTAGGAGAGATATGAAGTATCAGCCGGAGAGGACACCTGAGTCTCGGTTAAAAAAAGAAAGGCCGGCTTCGCCGTCTCTAGATGCTAATGGACAGCGTTAAGTTTGGAATGAAGTCCCCTGATGTTGCAAAAATTCACGGATAGCGTGACAGCTCAGCGTCGTGGATGCTCAGCGAAGGATTCTCCAGGGGTGCTGGTACCCTCCTGGGGTAGTCTTTTATTTAATTCCACTACCACGTTGATGCTGGTTTTCTGTGAGGTCGTGGTACCACCCCGGTACGAGCTGGCCCATCCGTGCGACAGCGAAAGCTACCGCTTAGCTCTACCACTGTTAAAATGAAAATGACTGTCTACCTGAGATCCTATAATTAATAAAATTAAATCTAAGCCATTAAACCCAACCAAACCAGTGCAAAACTTCAAGACACTGTAAACTAGTTATACGTAGATCGGACCAAAACCTAATATTCAAAAACCATGGAAATATACAAACTGGAACCCGCACTCTCGAATGATATAAAAAATACAAGAAAACGAACTTGAATTTTTCATTACCCCTCAGTCTCTTTCTAATTAGGGTGAACACAAAATTCAAGCATTTGGGATATTATGGGGAAGAATCAGTTTATTTTTATCATATTCATTTATAAAATTTTAATTTAATTGAGAATATTAGAGTTCCATTTAAACGCATCATATTAGAAAAATTCATAAGGACGAAGCTGCGGGCTGCAGTTTATTAATTAATATTATTTATGCGTGTACATTTTGTCAATAAACGAATAAACGAGTGAACGGGCTCAATATACAAAACTTTTACCATGAACTCAGACCAGCATCCAAAAATTTTAATTTAATTGAAAATAGTATTATTTTTACTGTAGTACTTTATGGTACACGATATTTTTGTTTGATTACCTGGCGCGTAAACAAACAGTGCAGATGGTTTTCCAACACGGGAACAGACGACATACTTGGCCATGCGAGAAACATGGGTTTTCTAGATTAATACCATAAACACTTAATGACTGCCCCTGTGATTTACTCGTATTTAGAGTCATAGCGAAAGTAAGCCGTACTGGAAACCGTAGTCGTTTGGTACGTCAGTCGGAATCACTGGGATGCGAGGTATCAAAACGTCTTCTCCTTTATACTTTCCTTTCAATATGATTGCTTCAATTACTTTTTTTCTATTACATTATTCAGTAATTTTTTATTGGTAATCGTGTGCCGTTACAAAGTTGCGGTTGGTTAATATTTTGCAACATTATAACAACAGATCCAACCTTTACTTGAAGATTCATCATTACAGCCCTTCACAAGTCCACTGCTGAACATAGGCCTCCCCCAAAGAATGCCACAAAGCACGGTCCTGAGCCACCTGCATCCATCGACTTCCTGCATATCTTACCAGGTCGTCACTCCATCTAGTGGGGGGACGCCCTACACTTCGCCTGCCGGTACGAGGCTGCCACTCGAGAACCTTTCTTCCCCATCGGTTGTCGGTTCTTCGAGCTATATGGCCGGCCCATTGCCACTTCAGCTTACTAATCCGTTGGGCTATGTCGGTCACTCTAGTTCTACTGCGGATATCCTCATTTCTGAGTTTATCACGCAGAGAAACTCCGAGCATAGCCCTCTCCATAGCTAGCTGAGCGACCTTGAGCTTCCTCATCCGGCCAGCAGTGAAGGACCACGTCTCAGTTCCGTATGTCATCACTGGCAACACGCACTGGGTGTACAGTCTCGTTTTCAAGTTTTGAGGTATACCTGACGAGAAGATGTGCCGTAATTTCCCGAACGCTGCCCAACCGAGTTGAATCCGTCGATTGACCTCTCGGTCGAAGTTGGACTTACCTAGTCGGACTATTTGTCCCAGGTAAACATACTCGTCAACAACTTCGAGCTTAGTGTTCCCAACAACTACCGGCATAGGTGTGACATGGACATTAAACATGATCTTTGTTTTGTCCATGTTCATCTTAAGACCTATCCGTTGGGAAACACTATTGAGGTCATTGAGCATAGTGCTTAGGTCCTCCAGCGATTCTGCCATAAGGACTATATCGTCGGCAAATCGAAGGTGAGTGATGTACTCGCCATTGATGTTGATACCGTATCCTTTCCAGTCCAGAAGCTTGAAAACATCTTCCAATGCAGCGGTAAAGAGTTTCGGGGATATGACGTCACCCTGTCTTACACCTCTCTGCAATTGGATAGGTTTCGTACTCTGGTTCTGTACTCGGATAGCCATCGTAGCCCTACTGTACAAGCACTTCAACACTTCGATATACCGACAGTCAACTTGGCATCGCTGAAGGGACTGCAGCAACGCCCAAATTTCGACGGAATCAAAGGCTTTCTCATAGTCCACATACGCCAGACATAGTGGCAAATTGTACTCCTCGGACTTCTGTACAATTTGCCGAAGGGTATGTATGTGGTCTATGGTGCTAAAGCCTTTTCGGAAACCGGCTTGTTCGGGAGGCTGGAAGTCGTCAAGTCTGCGAGCGAGACGATTCGTAATGACTCTCGAACACTTGAAGATTGTGAGGCGGCAATCCAGGCAAATCAAGTGAGTTTAAAAATTCCGCTGGATAGTTCACGACATTATCTTCATTAGTTGCCGTATCAATTGATTTATATGTCCTCATTTCGCCAGGAATGTCATCTTAAATTTTGAAATTTAATTCATTTACATCAGTGTTTTTGGCAGCCAGTATATTTCGTTCGCTCAACCAATCATGGAATAAGTAATCTTGAGCAACATTTGGAAACAACTTTTGAATGTGTTCAGCTTTTGATTGCGTTAACTGACAAAAACTGTCAGGAAATGTGATGCAGCCAGTCAGCACATCTATAGGAAATTTGCCATTACCAATATCAATGAGTTGTTTAGAGAATATGTCTCCACATTGATCATTTTGCAACATGACACGCATATTCTTGCTTAAATGTAATATCATGACATGTTTCCACAAATTGGAGGACTTTAAACATGCATTTAGTTCATCAGCTTGCATTGAACGTGGAATCACTGGCAATGTTTGCAAAAATCTCCTGATAATAAAATCATTGCGCCACCAAATTGGTTTTGGTTATTCCGTAGATCTTTCAAGGTGCTATCTAAAGCCTCTAAAGATTTTGTATGCACTATAGTGCATTCATCCCACATTATTAGTTTACATTGCTGCAAAACCTTTGCCATTGCCGAATTCTTGGAAATGTTGCAGGTTGGAGTTTCGTTGCTTTGCATATACAATGGCAATTTTATAGCTGAATGGGCTGTTCGACCGCCTTCAAGTAAAGTTGCTGCAATGCCTGACGAAGCAAGAGCTAGAGCAATTTCATTTTTTGTGCAAATTGTTGCCAATATTAAAGTAATCAAAAAGTTTTTCCTGTACAACCAAGAGCGTCCAAGCAGTAAATAACCTCCAGTTCCATTATTTATTACTTTCATAAGAGTATCAAATATACACTTTTTTCTTCGTTCAATAGTGGAAGATTTATTTGAATCAATTCTTTCAAAATGTTGAGATCATACGATTTTTCATGTTGTAACTCTTGATGAAAATCATCGTGCATTGAGCGATTGGGCGCGGCCATCCCCAATCGGCATAATAGATTGTTTGACATCATCAAGTACATATACTTAATGAAAATCAATGCCTGATTGTAAATTTTTTCACTTATTTGTAAATTCAGATTCCCTGTTTTATTGCGTATATTAAATAAAATATCGTCACACATATTATCTTTGCATTTTATTCACAAATCAATTGGTTTTGATGGGAAGCATGTACATATGATAATGGAAAACTGTTCGTATTTGATGAGCTTGTGATGAAATTACAGCATCATTGAGAGTTAGATCCCAATGTGCATCGTTTTCTAACAGTTGCAAACGATGACAGGCTTCTCTGTAAGATCCACACAATTCACTATCAACTGTTCGTAAATGTTGGAAAGATGTTGGGCCACGCACATTGACTAATAGCAGCTGTAAATAAAAACATTTTGTTTTGCCTTCCCGGAACCCCTCCACTAAAACTTAAACTTTATGAAATGGTATTAAAGTTCAAATTGACTTTTAAGTATTATTATGAATCTTTTGTATGGGAATATAGAAAAATGTTGTTTTTAGAATTTTTCAGGCAATTTTTTAAATTTTTCTCTCCGTAAGAACCATCTTCATACTTCAAGGAATATTAAAAAAAGAATTAGCGAAATCCGTTCAGCTGCCCTCGAGCTTTGCGCTTAGCAAAACATACAGCGATTCATTTTTATATTATAGACTAGCTAACCCGGCGAACTTCCTACCGTAATGTTACCATCGTATAAATATTGACAAATATTTATACGATACGATACGATATAATATTTATGCGATACTAACGTCACTCAATTGCTTTGCCTTGCCAGAACCCCTCCACTAACACTTAAACTTTATGGTATGGTATTAAAGTTCAAATTAACTTTTAAGTATTATTACGAATATTTTGTATGGGAATATAGAAAAGTGTCATTTTTAGACTTTGTCGGGCAATTTTTTAAATTTTTCTCTCCGTATGAACTATTTTCGTACTTAAAGGAATATTGTAAAAAAAAAATTAGCGAAATCGAATCAGCTGCTCTCGAGATTTGCGCTTAGCAACACATTCGGCGATTCATTTTTATATTATAGAAGATGTAAATGTGAAATAAAATACAAACAAAAGTAAGTTGTAAAAATGTATAATCAATAACGAAAAATAACTTACTTTATATATCTACGTACAAATATTGTGACAGTATCTTTGAGAAGAAAATATTTCATAAGTGAGTTTCAGGAGCTACGTAAACAAGTCGCGCAGGCTCCTGATATTAAATTTTTGAACACATTGTTTGAAACACCACTGTCTTAAACTTTATTTGAAATTCTTCGTTGAACAAACTTAAATAGTAAGGAACAAAAATAAAATTACTTTTAAAATCTTAAAACTTAACAAAAAACCCTTTATATGTTATTTTCAGTTTCTGATTTCATTTGTTATATTATAACTCTTAATTTATAATGAACTTTATACTATCCATCCGTTACAGCCAATAAAAGTCCTCTACTCAACATAGGCCTTCCCCAGAAATTGTCGCAGGCGGGTGGGCAACCACGGTATTTTATGGTACTGATAATCTCCGTTTCAGATTCCCTCTGTCGCCTCTTACGGAACCCACGGCACGACATGTTGTGTATATTTTAACAAGGTCACTACATGGTAAATACTCTACCAATCAAATAAAAGCACATGAACCTGAAATATTAGCAGGACATCCTTACAGCTAATTTTCTACCACGACAATTGTGCTCTAATAACCGATGGCTGCTTACTTCGCAAGTAACCTGTCCTGTCCTGCCTATCTTTTAAGTAATAACTTATTAAGCAGACTGTACATTTTGTAAATATTTTTTTTGATAAAATATAAGTAATGGTGGCTAACGGGAAGTTTGAATAATAGTAAATCAATTCTGTGACCGAGACCCACCAACACCTAGCCTCGATTAAGTATCAAAATAAAGATGAGTTGTCGCCTAGGTAAAGTAAGATAGAATGGTTCTTCAGCCTTTAAATTTCAACAGCTGGATACGGGCCTCTCCTATTGTAAAATCAAAATATTGCTTTAATCGTCACGCCTGACAGGCGGATGCTTGTTCACGTCGTGGTCTAAGTATTTTACGCCTGTGGCAAAGAAGATGCTCACAACACCTACGGATCAAAATGGGGCGATGGGTTCTCTTATGACGCTATCACACGGCAATCGAATGTTTCGTTATGAGTAAAATGGTTTCTTATTCTCTACATCTCTACATTCCCTATATAAAGCAACGCGTGAGTGCACGTGCGTTTGTGTTCGAGAGCTCGTGTATGTTTTCGTCTCTGTTTCGAACTATCATCATCATCATTACAGCCTTTCACAAGTCCACTGCTGCCACACTGCTGTTTGGAACTATATGTATGTACATTATTCACTATATAAAGCAACGCGTGAGTGCACGTGCGTTTGTGTTCGAGAGCTTGTGTGTGTTTTCGTCTCTGTTTCGAACTATCATCATCATCATTACAGCCTTTCACAAGTCCACTGCTGCCACACTGCTGTTTGGAACTATCTGTATGTACATTATCTATACATATTGTTGCGCGCCACTATTAATGTCTTGTACATGGCAACACTAGTTACACTAGCGCCCTCTAGTGTCGAGTAAAAGAAAGTGTTGCGCGCCACTATTAATGTCTTGTACCATGTACAAGACAATTTTGAGTCTCAAATATTCCAGGAAACTTGCCGAGTTATGGGTACTCACAAAACACGAACAGCTTCTTACCACCCACAATCTGATGGTATGGTAGAACGATTTAATGAGGCATTGGAGAGGTGTCTAGCAAAAGTTGTGGGAAAACGGCAACGAGACTGGGACAGGCACATACAACCGTTTTTGTTGTCGCTGTTTGAAGCGCTGTTCACGAAAGTACATCAGTGACACCAACTTTCGCAAACTTTGGGAGAGAATTACGGCTGCCTGCAGACCTGATCACCGGAATACCACCTGATGCCCCACGCAGTATAACCGATTATGCAAATGACTTGCGGAACAAAATGAATGACATTTATGAGCACGTCAGACAGACGGGCTAGCAAACGTCTGAGAAAATGAAAACACGGTATGACCGCAAAATGAACAACAAGGGGTTTGATGAAGGTTCACTAGTGTGGTTACACAATCCAGTTCGCAGCAAAGGGAAACCTCCTAAGCTTCAAGCTAAATGGGACGGACCGTACCGGATTGTGACAAGGATCAATGACGTAACCTACCGAATACAGAAAGGTGCCAGAGGTACTCCTAAGATTGTCCATGTGGATCGACTGGCGCGTTATTATGGGGCCAATAATGCTCGGGACGAGCATGTCTTAGGAGGGGGCAGTGTTGCGCGCCACTATTAATGTCTTGTACATGGCAATACTAGTTACACTAGCGCCCTCTAGTGTCGAGTAGCAGAACTAGGAGATTCGAGATCCTTCCAGAAATTTCGGGACCGATATGTACTCGAACATTCTAGATGTCGCTACAGTAGAAGGTTCTGGAAACTATCTGAGGCCCTATATAAGGCCGGTATAGACCACGACCGGGGCAGTATTGAATTGGCGATACAAGAGAATACTTCGAAGCGAAATAACGGCGAACTGTGTTTTATTATTAGTGTGATTTTAAGTTGTAATTAGTGTTGTGTAATTAAATAGTCAATTTTGGTAACTCACTCGGCAGTTTTTAATTAACTCGAACCCCAAGCTCGTAACAATATAATAAATCTGTAGAAAAGTCGTATCTGTAGTTCTAATATATTCTTGGAAAAACAAGTCCAGGGGACTAAATAAAGGGTTCTGAATCCCATTTAGGGGTTTTTAGAATTTTTGTCTGTCTGTCTATCTGTCTGTCTTTCTGTCTGTCGGTCTGTCTGTCTGTGTATTCCGGATTCACGCAAAAACTACTGAACCGTTTTACATGAAATTTTGTATGTAGGTAGTGAGTAACCCGAGGCAACTTATAGGCTACTTTTTATCCGATTACGGAACTTCAAAAAGGAAGGTTAAGTAATTATTTCCTTTAGATATTAATTTTCTATTATATCTTAGTTAAAGGCGGATGACGGGTGTTTTTCAAATAAATACCATATTTGTAAATAAAATTTAATATATAGTTATAATTTTGGTAAATTAATTTGAAACTACACGAATTTGGTTTTCAAAACAGCGCCATCTATCATTAAATGAAAAAAATAGTATATTTTGCCTTCAGTTACTAATGAAATAATATATTATATCTTACATTTATATGATTTAATGATCAGATTTTTTAAATTATTAAAAGATTCTTACGTTTAGTTTTTATAATTTTTGTTATTTTATTTTA